CAAGTGTGGTCAGACAAACACGACATCGTAGACAGTACTGAGACAGATGGAAGTCTTAGACAGGTTACGAAAGAGTGGGTAGTAGAATTAAAGAGACCAAACTCGCTTAAAAGGAAGAAAAGTGTTATCAATATACGCATATATACAAAATCTCACATTATTTCGTATCAACTGTCATTTAGTTTAGTAGTTACGTTTGTTTGTAAACCTTCTGTAGTTCAATCAAATGCAAGCAAGCAGTAGCTCTACAAGTCAAAAAGACTCTTCAATGAGCAAGTCATCACAAACGCTTCAGGAAGTTGCTTTAGAATCAGCACAGAATCTCATGTTAACTGGTAAAAGTCAGGATCAGTAACTGACCATAACTGGTGGTTAAACGCAGATTTGTGAAATGCAAATCAAGTTTCGAATACAAGTCTAGGCAACTCATTGCGGATGAGCATCAAGTCAATAATAAGTTCACAGTATATCTTGGACATATAGATCTACTCTACATGGGAGAGGGGTTATCCTTGTGAACATATTTAAAAATAATAATAAAATAACTAGAAATGTCATAGCAGCAGTTGTTTTTCTTTTCTTTACCCTTTTTTTTTAACTAATCTCTTTTCTGGAGACCCTGTAGTTTCAGCCTCAAGCTGTTTTTCAGGATTGGCACAGAAGAATAGTATGAATTAAATATTTTGGCCTCTGTATGCATGAAGTACATGTACATTATATAAAAAAAAAAAACAAGAAATAAACATAAATAACATACAAAATAAACATTTGGCAATGTTGACACACAATAGTTTTCTTTTGCAATGGATTTTTTTTCCATCCAAAATTTTGATCACCGTTCTTTGTTTTTGTATAAAACACACACAAATACATGGATGAGCTACGGTAATATTCATCTATGTATGTAACTATTAACATCCCTATTACATTATATAATACGACTTTGTTCATTCTTATTCTCCTTCAGCCTTTACCTCTCATTAAAGTGATTGTAGTGTCTGTTGCGTTTTGAGAAAAACATAAGAGGTGCACATCCTCTTCAGAAGAACAATACAGAAAAATGAAGAATGTCCAGCACCATTTCTGCTGCAAGCCTCTAAAGAAACAGTAGACAAAGAGAGAGATGGTCCCTACGTTAGGCACCGACTGAGCGTGACAATCCTATGATTTCCAAAGCCAAAGATTTGATAGGATGTTGCTAATCCAAACTTTCAGTGTACTGGAAGGTGTGTGTTCCTGCTTAATTTTTCTCTCTGCCACCTCATTTCAAGCCAGATTGCTGTTGTATTGGTGAATTTGGTATGCTCAAAGGGAACGTCTGGTTATATTAGGGTGCTTTCACACTAGCACTTTTTGTGCGCACCCGGGTTCGATTGACGTAAGAGTTTGGTTTGTCTGGATGATGTGAACGTTGTTTTCTGAACTCGGGTGAGCATCCGCGAACCGTACCCAAGTCCCCCTAAAACAGGGAGGTCTGGGATACGGTTCACTGCTGACATTTGATTCTATAAACCTGTAGTTGCGTCCCAAATGATGCACTATACACAATGCTAAGGTTGGGAATCAAAAATCCTTACTTAAGGTACTTACTTAATCCTAACTAAATACTTAAGTAATACTTGTTATAAAATTGAGTGATTTTAATGTGATTTTAAACCATTCAAGCGCAAGAAGATTCATGAACTTTTTTATGTGCTGCGCACACATATGTCAATATGAATAATATAAAATATGTCAAAATATTTGGATAAACACAGTCGGTTATGTCTTAATTGAACGTAAACAGTTGACAAAGTAAACGTATAACATTATATAGGATCCGTGGGGCTTTTAAAGTGACAGCAGCCTAATATTCCTGCTGCTTATCTCCATAATAACGTTAATCAAACAACAAAAGACAAAGATAAAAATTCAATTGCTGTTCTTGACTGAATAACTTTTGTAACTATATTTGTAATGTAATTTGTTTATTTGTTCTTTTTTAATTACTAGGGGTGTCACGATTCTCCAAATCCTCGATTCAATGAAATTTTCGATTCTAAGGTCACGGTTCGTTTCGATTTTTTATTTTTAAAGCACAGGTTGCTGTGTCATTTTTTAGACTCGACTTTTATGCAATATAATATCTGACCTTTGTTCGCAATGTACCACACTACATTGTCAAATTTAACACATTTATTAACAACATAATGTAACAATAACTTATATCTTCAGTCAATTGGAAACTTAAGCAAAATAACCTGCCATCTAGTTTCTCTTTTGTAACTGCAGTCTTCTTCACAGAAGATGACATTCAAGTTCACAACAAAACAAACAGTTGTTGGTTTAACAGATAAATCTATGTAATTTGTTTTGCCTGCGGAGATGCCCTGCCATGTTAGTCGTGCTGCCAGTGGAAGAATATGGTACATAGCAGAGCTTGCAAACTGTGGCTTTTTTGAAGCGCGAACGTTGTCAACTTATCTCAAACATAAAGATCAATTCAAAATACTTCCACACCGGCAACTTAAATGAAAGAGGAGGGGGTTCAAGTTCTGTCGATGGTTCTCCTGCATCTGCAGTTGCCATGCTATCTTTTGACTGGCTGTAGCTAACGGTGCGGATCCACTTGTCCGTGCGACACTTCTGTCACGCCGCACTCCACTTTATTCCTATGGGTGACGTCAAGTGACTTTAACACGCCCACAAAGCATCCCGGGAAGGTGGCGCTGCATTTGAAAAAATGCTGAGCGTCAAAAAGTTGGCGATGCCCATCTTTATGCAAATTAATCCGTTGAACGCGACGCGACTATCTAATAGAAGTAGAGCACATGGAGACTGGGGGAAGTCTCTCACAGTTCCCATTTGTTCTAGAAGTCCTACTACAAAAACCACGCCCATAGCGGTAAACTTGAGGAACGCCCATGAACGTACAAATCAGGGGAGGCATCGGCAGCAGCATCGACGATTCCATTTTTTAATTCGAAGTTCGAAATTGTGACTTAATGTCGGTCGACACCCTTATTAATTACTGAGTGTTTATTTGTCTGAGAAATTTATATTAGTTGAAATGTATATTAGTTAGGCAAAAGTTCCTTATGTAAGTGTTCTTTAGCTGGATGATTTTTGTTGATGGTATTCAGCTACAATTAATTGTTTTGCATTAAGACTTAAAATAAATGTGAATGATTTCCAAGTTTTTTACCTTATTGGAATCGAAATTAGGAATCGATAAGAATCAGAATGAATAAACAGAATCGGAATCGTTCAAATTCAAGATACCCAACCCTACACTATGCACTTAAACACTATGTACTTATGTACTATGAACTCAAGAATTTTATAAGGTTATTTTGTCATTCAACATCGGTCTGAAAGCCCCTCCCCCTCCGCTATTTAATTAAAACTGTGAAAGATGAGTGGATGAAGTGTCCAACATTCCACACATCAGAGTATTTAAAGTGTACTTTTTCTTTTAGGAATTTTCAGTGTGAACACACTACTTGCACTTTTAATACTACAAAACGCAAAGAATAATGCACAAGTATGCGAATTGTGATGCACCTTTTGTGTTTGTGTGTGTTCTCACTCAATTTCCTGACAAGTGTGACTGATGCACTGCAAGCAGAGAGAATGTATATCTCATTTCTGCTTGCCTTCAGCAGAAATGGACTCCCGTGCTCTTAAGAACATTTGCAGTACATACACTGCAGATAGACGCAAGTGCTGTTATGTGCTGACGCTTGGAAAACAAAACCAAAGGTTCAAAAACCAGAATCTAAAAGTGAGGTGAGCAACGCTATGTGTTTTACCGCCTTCTCCTGCGTTGTGACGAGGGGGGAGCAATCAAACTCGGGTTCGGACCAGGCCATCGTGAAAGCACCCTTAGAGGTAGTTTCAAAGCCACACTGTTTTCTTTGATAGGAGAAAATGGCGAAAATGACTGAACTTTCTGGCACTCTGAGAGGAGAATACGCATGTATATATGTTGGTATATGGTACACAGAACTCCAAATTCAGTCCTTTGAATACAATAAGTTGGTAACGCTTCCTTTTACAGTACAGTACTTACGTGTACTTACAGTGTACTTACCTAGAAAGTACTGGCTAATATAAGGTAAGTACATGGGTTAGGGGTAGGTTCAGGGTTAGTACCTAGTTATTACCCAGTAATTATAGTTACTATAATAAGTACATAGTAAGTACATGGGTAACAGGGCTGTAAAAGGAAGCGTTACCAATAAGTTTAAGAATTACATGTAGCGCAACAGACACACTGACAAAAAGACAGTAAAAGAGAGAGTAAGGCAAAGAGAAAGAATAAGAGAGAGAGACACAGAGGCTGTGTCCGAAACCGAAGGCAGCTGCCATGTATTTGTATAAACGTACCGCCTTAGGAAACTAGTTTCAGGCCAGCTTCCAAGACACCAAACGTCACGTCTAATGATCTAGAACAAATTCAAGTGAAGTTTAGACATAAACCAAAGAAATACTTGTGTGAATACAATGCAATTTTTGTGTACAATGCAAAACATGAAATCTTGTATTTCTAAATCGCTTTATCAGATGTCATTTTAGCACGAACCGCCAAACTGAACGCACAGGATTGTGCCAACATTCGAACAAGTCGAACAGATGGAAGGCAAACAATTGGATCGGGATATGCCTTGGTGCCATCTTCCTTTTGTATACCGCCAGTAAAGGCGGCGTTTTTTCAGATTTCGGACACAGCTAGAGTGAGGAAAACATATACTATGAGAGTGTTGCGCTATGCATCAGTTTCCTGCCCTACCTCTGACAGCTTTTGGGTGAATGTACATAATCTCTCTCTCACGCTATATGTGTGTGCATTTTGTGCAGTCTAATCATGTCTTTTTCTAAAGTTTTCAATTCTCCTTGTCCCACAATTTCAAGGAATCTCAGTTCTCGAGTCCTTCGGCACACACCATGCCCGGGTAAAGCTGCTGCTGGTTAGGCAGAGGGTCTTGGCAGGGGGTTTGAATGGGGTTCCTTTCCTCTCCATCGCTGTCCGTGCTGCCTTGACTGTCCAGACGAGGTGACGAGTGATGCGGATACAGGGCGGTCACAGGCAGGTGGCTCTGAAGAAGGTCCTCGTCTGAACTGAGGTAATCGCCTTCTGCAGATGCTGGGCTTTCCAAACATAGGTCCTGATAAGCGCCACCACTGGTATTCTGGAACTTGGAGCGCTGTCCACGCAGCTGCCTGATCTAAAATGTTCAAGAGAAGGAGGTTGACAAGTTCTATATTCCAGCAAATATTCTTACAAATGCACAGCCCTGCAGAAAAGACCTGTTTTCAAGGTAGTTTATGCTGTATTGGTGCCCGTCTAGCCAGGGTTATTATAGTTGAGTAAAACAAACTAAAACCGTATGAAAATTCTGTCATTAACTACTCACCCTCATGTTGTTCCAAACCCGTAAGAACTTTGTTTATCTTTAGAACACAAATTAAGATATTTTTTTATGAAATCCGAGAGGTTTCTGAACCACCCATATGTAGCAACGTCATCGCAACTTTCAAGGCCCAGAAAGGTAGTAAAGACATTGTTAAAATAGTCCATGTGACTACAGTGTTTCAAATGTAAAGTTATAAAGCATTGAGAATACGTTTTGTGCGCAAACCCCCCCCAAAATAACTTTATTCAACAATCTCTTCTCTTCCAAATCATTCTCCTACGCTGTTGATGTAGTGTAAACAGTGCAGCGCTTCCGGGTTCTACTATTGGCCGACGCTGGTCATGTGAGCACTATGACACATGCGTGTGATGCTGACGCAGGAGCTGGCCAATAGTAAGGCGGCGTTCTGGCGTAGAACCCAGAAGCGCTGCACTGTTTACACTACATCAACAGCGTAGGAGAATGATGTGGAAGAGAAGAGATTGTTGAATAGATATTTTTGTTTGTTTTTTTGCGCACAAAAAGTATTCTTGTCACTTCATAACATTAAAGTCCCACTCCGATCATATTTTGAGCTATTTTTAAACATTCCCAGTGGTCTTTAAATTATGATTATGCCATTTTTAGCCAAAATCACAAAACCTGTGCCGTTTTCTGGGACTTCGCTTCAGCAGAGCGGCAGTAGCTCATTAGCAATTCGCCTCTGCGTTGTGGGCGGAGCCGTTGGCACGGAGACGCCCCTCCCCCTGCCCGTTGCTGAGAGCTCTGTCTCTCCCGCTAGCTTACACCCCCAATACCGGTGGGGCAACAGTATTATATACACGTTAATTATTATTATCCGAAGTTAATCAAAGTTATCACCGATCACCGATCATTATTTCACTCCAAGACGTCGCGTGTGGAGACGCCCAGTGGAGTTACTACGTCACAACTCCAGTCTATTTTAGCCGGCATTTTAGCGTCTGCTACTGATTCACAGCCATTTGAATGTAGAAATACTCAGAAATACAACTTTGAGCTTATTTTTCTCAAGATATGTCCTCTAACATCAGAAAAATGCCACAAGAACATGTTAACACCTAGAAAAACATTATTTTCATCGGAGTGGGTCTTTAAGGTTGAACCACTGTAGTCACATGGACTATTTTAACGATGTCTTTATAACCTTTCTGGGCCTTAAAAGTTGAAATGATGTTGCTGCATATTGGGTGGTTCAGAAACTCTGGTGAAACCTCTCGGATTTCATCAAAAATATCTTCATTTGTGTTCCGAAGATGAACGAAGGTCTTACGGATTTGGAACGACATGAGGGTGAGTAATTAATGACAGAATTTAACCATTTAACTGAAATAAAATATATAAAAAACTTATTTTATTTCACATTTCTCATTTTCATCACGATGTGCTAAAATATCTAAAACTAAAACAAACATTCATAAAACCATAGACATATATATATTATATATATATATTTTTTTTTTTTTACAAAATTACAAAAAGTGCATAACAAAATAAATAAACTGATGAAAATGGAAAATATATATAAAAAAACGCGTTCAAAATATTAATAAAAACTGTAATAGTATCGGAATGAAGCAGTGCCAGCATATGGAGAACGTAGTGAAGGTGGTTGACCAAGGAAGTATAGCTGACATATCTAATTAAAAGGCCTGGTAAGCATCCAAAAAACAACATACACTATGAAAGTGATGCAATTGATTCATAACCATAAAAAAGAACAACATTAGCTAAAATAGACACAGTAAAATAAATCACTGACTCACATTTGACCTGTTAAAAAAGGGTTGAATCTAAAAATGTTCATAACATGAGTTTGTGGTTTATTTTCTTGAGAATCAAAAAGAACTTTATCTGTAAAATAAAAACATTGACATTAAAAGGCACACAACACCACATTTACCGCATTTTTTTTCAACAGGTTGGTATGTTTCCATAGCAACAAGTAGTAGTCTTCAATGTGTGCTGATGGAGAATTTAAGTTCTGCTTATCAGAGAGGTGTTAGAGCAAAGTATACACATGCAACGTGATTAAGATCAGTTCGTCACTGTTATTTCTCTGTAAAGCACCCTGTGGTGTGCTTTTAATTGATGGTCACGATTTATTTGGAGATGTTGTTAATGTGTACTTACACAAATAAGTACTGAGTAATATTAATTAATTACATGTACTTACTAAAGGGTTAAGGTTAGTTACTTGTAATTATGCATAATTCACTGTTACTATAGCAAGTACATGTAACCTGTAACTCGCCTTAAAATAAAGTGTACCAAATTGATTAAGAGGCTTTTTACTGAAATGTTTAACACAATTAACAAATGATATAATACAGTTTTGCACGAAAAGAAGCACTACAAGATGTATGTGTTTAATTTTAATTTTAATTTAGGGGTTTTATCCATTTACCTATATATTTAAATATATCTAAATGTATTTTTTTAAATCTATTTATTTATTTTAATTTGCCTCCATATCGATCTTCAAGACTTTTTGCATGTTTGTTTTGATATGTACCTTTAGTGGTACCATTTGTTTGCTTAAATCTACATGTGCCCTTGGTGAATATGCGACTATAGATGTGTGTGAATCACGTAGTGAGTGGATTTTCTTGCGTGACAGAAATGGACCACAATTTTTCGCTCTCATTTCAGATCTTCCCTTCTGAGTCAGTGAGCCTAAGTGAGTGTGATTGCGTGTGTATGTGTGTCTGTCCTAACATTCGTGAGAGACTTAAACAGGTATTCTGCTAAAATCTCAGATCTGAAACGTCATGGGTTTCCCAATAAGTTCTTTAGCAATTTGTGAGTGTGGGAGTGGGAGGGGCTGTGGTTAACCAATGGAAAAGCTTCCTGAGACAATCATCTACACAAGCCCCACCTCTCACTTCCTCTGTCTGGTTGATCTCGTTTCAGCCAAAACCACAGAGCAAAAGTCAGTGCACAGCACTTCCGAATTAGGACATCACCGAGATTTTTTTTTAAAAGTAAATGATAATGAAAAGCACATTCAGTGCTGAAAGGCTAAAAAAATCAAATAAAATAAATATAATATAGACAACCTTGACACCAGACAAATTTAATAGAAATAGATGGTTGTGAACTGCAGGCTAGTGACTGGTTTATGTTCAATGACATGTAAATAAAACAATTCAATGATATATATTGCCACCTTTTGCGATGTCTATTCAATGCATTTGTCAGCCACCATAAATGAGATAAATGAATGTTTTTGAATGATTTAAATTGTCTGTCTAAATAGTGATGTGCGATTAATTGCAAATAATGTGATAAAAGGGTCATGAAACCCCCCTCTATCAGCTCAAGTCTAGCTCATAATCTTTTTGAAAAATGCAACTTAAATGGGCGTGGATGGCTGTGAGAAGAAGGGAGGGAGTGGGTGTGGCACGGCAGGGGAGAGGGGGAACTGTCATCAGCCAGCAGTGTTGCCAGATGTACGATAATTATCGTATTTGTACAATAATTTTGACCTCTGTACAATGTACGATCAATAATGAACAATAATCTCAGAGTTTTCAGTCGTTCGTCCAAACACACATCCTACCGCTTCTCTCTCTGACCCTGAATCATTTTGCAGGCTCGCCTGCCTGCACGTACACACACACACACGGTGTCGCCCGGCCCGTACGTCAACACTACACATTCACAAGTCTCCCGCATTAAGCATACAATTGATATATTATCGAAATATCTAAAATGTTCATAACGACCGCTTATTTAACAAAAGGCAAGTAAAATGACCAGGGTTACATTTTAGACACACACTCTGAAGGGATAGAAAAGTCCTCAGGATTTGGTACCGCATCACTCGCAAGACGTAACTTGCATTGGTCATCGACAAGGCCGAAGTCCAATTCTCGAAGCTCTCTCGGGTAAAATGTTTGCGGCACTTGCGTCCCATGATGGTCTCTCTCCTTTACTACGCGATATCACCCCTTTTACTGTCTATGGATATCACAGTTTGACATGTCTGTGGAAAGATCCACGTGGTGTCATGAATAATTAAGAGAGCGTGTCTTCTCATAGGATATAAAAACTCAGTCTCATTAATAATTATGAGAGACCGATGAGTCATCAACGCACTACACTGTGCACTGCCACGTCACAGCCTGCGATGAAGATTTTAAACCCGGAAGACGAAAATAGCTAGAAAAAACTAAAATTTAACCATTTTCGCCCTACTATTAAATCTAACAGATGCTAACATTGTCTTCAATGTTGTTCAACACACATACCTCTGTTAAAATCTCAGAAAATTTGGTTTAGGGTTTCATGACCCTTTAATTCTTTGGCATTTCATGTAAAATTTGAATCAGCCCTAATAAATACACAATATATCACAGAAAAGTTTTTTATGGCAAAGGATAAATGAGCTAGTTAGTACAGATTCATTTGACAGTATCGAAACCCCCGATTATAATATTTACCAGTTATTTTATACTAGTAAAAAAAAAGAAAAAAAAGTCGCTCTAAAATTCGCAATTATATTGTGTTATATAAGACTGCAGGGTTTCTTCAGGTTGATTTGTTTTGATCAAAAATGATTCTAAATCTTTGGCACAACAGACCATATGGTGACCTGATTTCATGGCTGAATATGAGCACATGTAAAACGCTGATGTAAATCCGTCCTTTGAAAGCGCCCACAATGCATCTCAACTCATTGATTACAGTAACCATGAAACTGAAGCATAATCACTTCAAATTTGTATGTAAACACTGACACAAGCAAAGCTATCGAGCGAGAGGAAACGTGAGTGGCGATGACGAAATCAAAAACGAAAAGAGGGATGAAAACGAGAGATGAAAGACGGAGTGATACGTGAACAGAGAGGTTAAAGGGAGGGAAACACATTCAAGAGAAAGAGAATGTCAACACACTCTCACACCCCCCTGTCACGAAAGGTTTTTCTACAAATGAGCAAGATCATCATATGAAGTGCGTGAGACCGGGTTGTGACTGGGTGCGTGGGTAAAGCACCACAGTATCAAACCATCAAAGTGTGTGTGAGGCCATATGGGGGAATGGGGAAAAAGATTTTCGAGTGGTTTTTATTGTGGTTAGGGAAGGTCCCAAGTGCCAAGAAAAGCACTACAATACCACTCTAAAATGAGGTAGAAAGGTAACCGCTTATAGAAGAAAAATGGTGGCAAAGTGACTTTAAACCATATAAAAGAGCCATACTAATAGGAATAAATAAAAATTTGAGAAACCAGGTTTGTGTAGTAGGGATCATGGTACAGTAAGTGCTTTTTAGCTACAATAATGTGGGTTGTAAATGTTACGGACATTTTTTCTGATCACAGAATACGACGCAAGTGCAAAGACTGTTACAGATATCAGCCTAACTTGCATACTAGTGCATGTATGGGTGTGTTTGTTTGTGAAAACCTCACCTCGTTCTTGAGTTCAGCGATCTCCTGCCTCAGTTGAGTTATATACTGTTTGGAGTCCGAGTGATTCAGCTGACCTTGGATCAGTCCTTCCTCTTTCTGTAGGCAATACATACACACACATTTACACTTGATTACACTCTGTATATACCAATATATACACAGAAAACAGACCAATATGTAACACACACACACACACACTTAGTGGTCAACCGATATTTATCAATATCGAGAGAGCTTTATCTACAGACCAATAGCCAATGTAATCCTGATATTTGCATTAAACTATTTAATGAGATGTTAATAATAATATTTCCTCAAAATTCAACAACAAATTGTGCATTATACCAACTAGCATAGCTGTTTTACAGAAGAGAAATACAACTTCTGTTAAAAAGTCAAGTAGACAGTTATTGCACACATGTAGGCCTGTATTTCTCACCTGTATTTCTAGGTCGGCTATCTTTTGCCGGAGTTCAGCCATGGCGGCCATGCTGTCAGCTTCTCTTAGTCGCACTGCCATCACCTCTTCTTTGCTCTAAAGGGAAGACAGCGAAATTATTTCTACATTATACACATAAAATTCTACATTCTAATAAATGCATTAATCTATAAATGTAATTTTGGTTGTAGTCTAGCTATGTCTATTTGCTAGGGATGCACTGATATTAAAATTCTGGCTAATACTGATAAGGGCATAATTGTTTTATGTTATGGCTGATGACGGATACATGGCATGTATTAAAATGATATACTATTGTCTAAACAAATAAATAATAAAACATTAAAAACTAAGATTAATCATTGTAAATGCTAGTGAATATATAGTCATTGCAGCAAGATAAAGTACAGCATGAGATTTTTATTTTATTTTGACACTTAAGAGTGTTTTTAAAAATGTACTTTAAGTGAGCGTTAGATGATGAAGGTAATCTAAATATAAAAATACAGGAAATAAAAAAAAATGTCTCATGCTATGCATTAACCGATATGGCACTGATTTATTGTGCATCCCATTTACTGTTCATCTCATTGAATCTGTCCTTCCTGAATTGTATGACTGTGAATGCATTGTACCTTGCAGTCAAACTCGGCCTGCTTTCTCTTCATTTCGTTGAGCTGGCTTTGTAGTGTTTTGTTGTGAGAAAGAGCATTCTGCAGTCTCTCCTGCAGGCTGGCGCTCTCTTGCTCATGTCTGCCAACTAGTTTACAGTTGATTTGGTTCTATGGAGACCAGGAGAAAAGGCAAGGTGTTGTTTGAAGAGGTTTTTTTTTCTATGGGTATATTGGATGATTTCATATTTGTTTATTTTGTGTAATGGCCATTATGTGTGTGTATGTGCTAATTGGTGCCGGCCACCAATGTATAAATTCACTAACTGTGTATGTAAGTGGTAGTTGTGTATGAAGATAGAGCTGGTCCTGTAGTCCACAGACCTATGTGGGTTGGGTTGCCATATATACACTACCGTTCAAAAGTTTGGGGTCGGTACGATTTTAAATACTTTTAAAAGAATTCTCTTCTGCTAACCATGGCTGCGCTTATTTGATTAAAAATACAACAAAAATCAGTTATAGTATTAAATATTATTCCAGTGTAAATCAGCTGTTTTCTGTGTGAATATATAGTAAAGTGTAATTTATTCCTGTGATCAAAGCTGAATTTTCAGCATTACCAGTGTCAGTGTCAAATGATCCTTCACAAATCAGTATAATATGAGGATTTGATGCTCAAGAAACATTTATTATTATTATCAATGTTGAAACAGTTGTTGGTCTGTCAGTTGTACAGTTTTTTTTAATTTTTTTTAGGATTCTTTGATGAATAGGAAGTTCAAAAGAACAGCATTTGTTTGAAATAGAATCTTTTGTAACATTATAAATGTCTTTACTGTCCTTGATAAATAAAAGTATTGATTTCTTTCCTCCAAAAAATAAAAATAAAATTCTCACTGATCCCAAACTTTTGAACGGTAGTGTATATATATATATATATATATATATATATATATATATATATATATATATATATATATGTGTGTATATGTGTGTGTGTGTGTGTGTATATACTGTATATATATATATATATATATTTATATATGTGTGTGTGTGTGTGTGTGTGTGTATATTTATATAATTCAAAATATTAACAACAAATATAAAAATACATTACTTTTACACTAAAATTATACTAAAATAACACTGATATGGAAATGCATTGTAGTTCTAACCTGGCTCTCCAGCTGCAGGTTTTTAAGTTTGACCTCTTTGAGTTCAGCCTGACCCTGAGCCTCTCGCAGTCTCAAACTCATCAGTTTATCCTGCAGCTCATTCAACGCATTCTTCTTAGGAGACTCTTTCCAATGGCCTCCTCCTCCTCCTCCACGGGACGTATGATTCTGTCATAAAAATTTAAAAAAGGTTTGCAAAGAATTAGATTTGAGGACCTGTAGAAGAACCAATCAAGTAATGGAAATGGGGGAGAACGGGAAAGAATTGTATTAGTTCATTCTTGATTAACAGAAATTCATACTTTTTTATGAATGTCAAAACAATCAACAAATGAAAATGACAATGCAGTGCAAAACAAAAACAAATCTGAATTCTGTAGAGTTCAGAGGATTTGGACAGAGTTTAATTGTGTAAAGATCAGTAAAGTTGTGTAGAGTTCAGTAGGGTTGTGTAGATTCTGCACCTGCCAGCAGTGGTTGAGATCAGTAACGGCCTCTTGCATCTCTCTGAAGGAACGTAGGGTCTCCTGCTCTCTCAGTTTCACCAGCTTCAGCTCCTCCTGCAGCTGAGCTACATTAATCTCATCAGGCAGAGAGTTGTTCCTCTACAATATGCAGACAATATTCCATTAAGTATTATACATCAGCACCATTTAGTACTAAAAAGCAGTATATTTGTTCATGCAATTCAAAATAATTTCACTTATCATTTGTGCGTGCATCAGCCATATCAGCCGTATCATCGCCACTGATGATCTAATCATCACCACTGGTGCAGAAGCATCTTTCCAATTCATACTTGAAAATTCTGACTAAAAAGTCAAACACACATGCACACACCTTCTCCAGATCGAGCACTTTGTCCTGCATTTCTTTCAGAGCCCCGAGCAGTTCTGCTTCCTGTAGACGAGACTGTTCCAACTGAGTTCGCAGCCCACTCACAAACTCCTCTGTATACTACAGACAGAAAGACAAAATGGATTGAAACACTGGTGAGTGCAGAGAAGGTTATAATGGCTGCCATTACATCAGAGTATATCAGATATAAGGATTTTGAACACAACAAAATGGGTTAACTGTACAAAAAGGGCATTTCTTTATACAGCACAACAGTAGGGTTCAGGAAGTAAAAATCCCAATCATTTTATGCACAGAAAAAACGATAAACCTTTTAAGACAGCTCTGACATAAAAAAAAAAGGAGAGATCATCATTGGGAGAGTTCCCGAAAACAGATATTCCTTGGATCCATCAATCAGAAGAAAGTGTTAACATAGAAACAAGAACCACGCAAAAAGAGCTGAGCAGTGCCCTCCTGCTCCCATGTAGCATAACAAATGATGTTTATTTGTATATATTTTAATATTTTGCGATAAACTTTTATATAATGCAGTTTATCGGGCTAGGCAATATGATGATATCGTGGCAATACCGTGTAAAGCTTTTGCTAAATCGTGTATATGTAAATATATTTGCGCAAGCCTGCTTAAATTTATAGACGCATTAGAGCGACTAAGAAACGTGCAGGAATAAAAAAGCACAGGATGTGCTTGATGTTAAATGAAGCACAATAAGCCCCGAAAAATTAACTCAATGTGGTACTCGCGTCTTAAGCGCTCCCACAGAAAGCTGCTTCTCACACAGCATGTCAGTTCAGTTCTCTTTGACGATGAATTTTTGAACGGCCAAATACACACACAATTATGTCAAAATGCCTGTCTCGTTTGTCAAATACATTTGATCCGTGCATTAGGGCTTAAAGTGACAGCGGCCTATTATAACTGTGCTGCCGTCCTTTTCATTAAACCACAAAAGACAGAAAATCACTCACTGCTCTTGACTGAATAACTTTTGTAGCTTTAATAAGAATCAGAGTATATTTCCTGCGGTGATGACAATGTTGTGTTTTCTTTTCTTTTAAAATCTATTATTATTTTTTTTGTGGTATTTCTTACTTGCATGCTACTTTTAAATAGTACAGTACTTTAAAAATGTAGGATTGCTTATTATATCGTGCGTCCTATTGTTTGTAATGTGTTGTGTTTGTTCACTCCTACGTCAAAGTCAATAGCGTGCAGTCGTTTTTTGATTCAGTTACATCTTGGGATACATAGTTCATTATCTCATATACAGTAAGACATTAAGTATAAAGTCTTTTGTAATGTTCACAGATTTCAGTGCACAGATGTTTGATTTATGGATCAACTTTTTATTGAAGAAAGTTTTTTAAATCCCTATGGAGAAAAATTCTTTTGAATCCAAGGATACTGAAAAAGTGAACTATATACTCGGTGGAAGAATTTAGATTCTAATTGATATAATAATAATAAAACAAAAAACACTGGTGTTATATTTTACTAATATAACTGTTGTTACCATTCTATTAAAGTGATAAGACATCGAGGCTAAGTGTTAGTGCCTACATTTACTGTAACACATGGCCTCTAGACCATTATGTCATAAAATAACAATTTCAGCCTCTTTTGCATTTCAAAAGAAATTTAAGGTTATGTATGAAAAACAAACAGTCATTCTGTAAATGTCTACTCAGAGCAACAGATATGCTTCTGGAAATTTTTGATAATTTGTAGCATTATCGATCACTGTAGCGGCAGTGTTGATGTGAGTGTGCTTCTGCCTTGTCCTGTGTGCATATACTGTGGCCTACCAGAGGGGGCTGTGGCCTGCCCTGGAGACTTGTGTGAACACTAGTTCCCACGGACTTTTACTTCTGTTTTTCTTACCTCCCTCCAGGCTTCCAGTCACTTCATCATACCCGTATTACTCAGATGTGTCAATCGCATAAACTCTCGCTCATTCTACCTCGGTTTACTTATAAAGCACTAGTAGAAGGACTGGACTTTTAGCTAAAAACCAAATGTTTTCCTTTCCAGACAGCAAAGCGCAGCAGAAATGAACCTTTCACAAGAGAATACTAATGCTGCCAGAAATCCAGAATCCACTAATGACATTTCACCGAACGCTGATACTTGGAATTTAAAAATGAAATGATATAGGTGAATATGTGTGTGTGTGTTAAAAGAGGATGAGAAACATAGACCACAAATAACATTTCATGTCAACCACAGCGAGCCCCAGGTAATGAAACCAGATTCATCAGATTTAGGTCGAAAAGCAACATTAAAAACTCACCCTTAAACATACTAAATCCCTGTCAGATCTAAACTGTAGTGTTTTCTTTATTATAGCTATTAAGAAATTTAGATCTCTGTAAAAAAATTTCAATAACTGGTCTAAAATAAGAAATGTGTGAGAATTTTGAGGGTGAGTGCATGCAGATTTTTTTTTGCCAAATTAAAGAAAAAATGTCTTTAAGTAAATAAAACGACTGGGCGGCAACTTTTATCAACTGCAACATTACATGGTTTACAGTGAAATGTAAGAATTTTTAGAAGAAGATTTAAGAGACCATCAGAAGGTAATCCAAGATGTCGAAGTTTTTTTCCCTTCCAGAACTCCTTGTTGGTGATAAATATGAATATTCATCATTTGTATGAGTTCTAGAGAGCCAGAGACTGGCTAATTTCATAAACAACAAGTTAACAACAAGATTAGCTGGTAGGTGCACATGGTACACTAGTTCTGTTGAGATCAGCACCGCTATGGGATGGTGGTCAATTCTGAGTGTAACACAGGAAAATACATATGACCAGAGAGTGTTGCTCTGAGTGTGAAACATGTCAGGCTCACACTCAACATGACACACACCACACCCCGACATCTTCTCACACATGCCTTTCACTCACACTTAAATGAAAAAAAAAAACACTTCAGAAATTCCCCGTTAGAAAGCGATGCTTTAGCATCCATTCTTCTAATTTGTGAGGATGACGACAGTTTTTAAAATGTAATGATGGGTTCAAACAGTCAACTTAGTAATAAGAAGTCATTTTCATAAATCGTACCAGGATATAATCTCTGAACTATCAGTGTCCCAGTTCAGGGTAATTCTGCTGTGCGAAAGCAGATCTTTTGACTAAGAATAGCCTGCAGCCTTGTGTACAGCGAACATAATGATGGTTTAAAAATATTAAAAGCCTGTTCATATGGCATGGGACTTTGTTCAGTTTTCCGGTAAACAGCATGATCTCACACTGCCACTGTATAAAAGAGAGAATCTTTCTAATTCAATAGTAGGTACCTTCAAAAGGCTGAAGCTAAACTTAGTAATAGACCTTTTTGTTGTTTTCGGGCAATGGATGTGATTAAGTCTGTTTCACACTGCAAGTGTAAGCAGTGAGAAAGAATAACTGGATTGACAAGCCTGCGTTGCAGTGCTTTCACACAGACAGCATTTCAGAGCTGTGTTGCTATACATTGGGTAACTCCATTGCTTTTTCCCCCCTAATTAATGGACATACATTTTAAAATGGTTAATGCAAACTTATGTAATCTGCCTAAATCATCTATATTCAATTAGAATTTCTGAATAGAAAGTGCTCTTGGTGTGTCTGTCATGTTTTGTGCAAGTTCCACAAGCAGTGGCAGACATCTTTTTTTTTTAAATGATGGGTGATCAATTCACTCCAGTCATTTTATGTAGCTTCATAAACGCCTATTTTTAAAAAGACTTTGAATAAAAAGTTTTTTGTAGCATTTTTATCTATATTTCTTGCTGAGGTCAGCTGAGTGCAGCAAAAATAGGCTCAGAACCGTAACTGAACTTGTAGCTAGGCATCTGCTGTTACCTTGTGTTGCTGAAGTTCACGTATGGTGTCCTGAGCTTTTTCCAGACTCTCACTGGCTGTATAACACTGCTGCCGAACCACAGCCAGTTCACGCTTGATAACGTAGTTCTCCTCTGCCTCCTGGGCTCGTGTCACCTGACCCTGAGAGAAGAGAAATGGAGTAAGTCTCTTCTTTGGAGATGTGTCTCTATACTTCAGGGTTAAGGGAAGATAAGTATGGCATTCCAGTCAAGGTAATGAGAGGGGCTACATGCAATGATACCTCTGTGTCATAAAACCAAAGAAGAAATCGGATCAATTCAAGAATCAAAAGAATCCCACTGAATTTTGAAATGTAATGAATCACATGATAAAATATGAAAAATGCCACCAGACCTAATACGGAGCCCTGATGCACACCTATGCTTCCACATCCCACATGCACGGCTACACTGCCGATATAGAGTGTCAGGGTTAACCTTCACTTGGAGCACTTCTGGGACATTATTCCAGTCATACAGACAAATGTGCTGTCAAGGCAGTGATGGGAAACACAGAAAAACAAATAACCATTTTTCATGCAACAGGCCCATTCTCAGAATAGTGTGGATGTGACAGTGCAGGGGCAGGAAAAGGAGTGCATTATAGTAGGAACCGTGGAAGGTTGAAGAGAAGAAGCATGTGATTGAGCAATGAGAGGAGGAAAGGAAGGAGAGATTAGTGTGCAGCTGGCTTGACAGTACTGTACCTGAATCAACCTGTCTGCTAATGCAGCACTCTCCTACAACACCACAAGAGAGGAGGAAGAAAAAAGAAAGAAAGGATACAGAGGGAGGAAAGATAAGGTTGGAAATAGGGAGAGAAAGAACAGGAAAAACGGAAGGAAACAGAGGATGAGAAAAAAGACGTTAGATATAGACAGACACACATGAAGAGAAGAAAAGGGAACATTTAAAAAAAGTTACGTAGGAAAAAACAAGTAGAGAAAGTTCGTAAAAGTATACAAGTGAGTACAACGAAATGAGTTTGTTTATGGTGAAAATAGTGGGGAAGAAATTTCAACAGAGGAAAGCAGAGAAAAATAAGAGAGATAAGACTTTAAAAATGTACCATCAAAAAGGAGACAATACAGCTGAGCCTCTCACATAATAAAGATATATACACTGTTTACTCAAACACAAACTAATCAGGGCTATTTTAGGTTCATGCATATCAGTTAGAAGATAGAAACCATCTCACTTTCTCCAGTGTCTCTATTCTCTGCTTCAGTAGTCTATTTTCTGTGCGTAGTCTCTGTTAAAATGAAAGGGATTTTTAAAAATGTATTTTATTCAAAAAGCAAATACATAAAATAAAATGATATAAAAATAGTTAACATTTTACCTAATATTTTATTTTACCAAAAATATGTTGAATAGTTTTATTTAACAATAACAACATTGTAGTTAACACATGCTATTAATTAAATATGTGTAACAGCATTATCACATTTGAGCACAGTGGAGCACTTATTTTATGAGTAAATGATGGAGAACTCTTTATGGATATTTTATTTATAATTCAAACCCAGATGGGGAACTAAACAAAAGTAAAGTCATACATTCATTGTATAATAAAATGTAATTCTTAATTAAGTTAGTAAAATATCACTGGGTAAAACATGCGCATACAAATGCAATCTACATGTTATTCAAAAACTTGCACCAAATTCAGGTTTACAAACCTTAATTTCAATCTGTTCTTCCATCTCTTTGTTCTTAATGGTGGTGTATTCTTTTTCTAATCTGTGAATGAAAATCAACAATCGAATCTAGAGAAGAACCAAATCTTTGTTTTTATCATCATAATAATATCTCAGTATCATGGACTATATAATAATCATACTTAATGTGGAAGCTCAATTTACTTTTTACTCTCAAATCACTCACTTTTTCATTCTTTTGGGATTGTATTTGACCTGATAGGCCCGTAGTACAAGTTTATCCGGGCAGCTATCAAACTGATGTGGAATCACCTTCTGAAAGTGCTGTGGTGAGAATATTAAACGAACATCAGTTAAAGTATTGTCCAAGTATAACATATTGATGTACATAACAGAGATGATCTTCTCCTAACCTGTGACATTCCTTCCATGTCTAGCTGTATGAGGTCTGTCTGGTTGTACTGCAATATCGCTATTCCAACTCGGAATATGATCTCCAAACCCTGAAAAAACATCACACAGTATTCATACAATCACAGACTAAAAACTGTAACAAATATCGATATCTGATATTTTCATGTCTCGAATAGGTTTTTACAACCCCCCAGATGCATTCACTCCTTTAAAAAGCCTGAAAACATGCACACATATCATGCACATGATATTGCTGTTCTATCACTGACTTTACTCTTGCCATATTATTGACTTTAACAATACTATGTTATACTAAAGCATTTTCTTTGCACGTTTAGTCTGATTAAGACACAATGCAATCCTACAACAACCATTTTTCCTTTTGAGAAGGTCCCTAGACGTAAGTTTTTCAGATTTTGTTAACTTCCAGGAACATTGTGTTCATAAAGCACACAGCCAAGTCAGTAACATGCATGGACACACACACACACACACACACACACACACACACACACACACACACACACACACACACACACACATAGTGTCTTGTGTCCATACCTCATACATAAAGATGTCAAAGATACGTGTAGCTATTGGCAGGGGCAGGAAGGTGAGGAAGAGAGTGAGGAACCAGGACGAGGCGTACATAGATGTATGGAAACTCTGAGAACGGAAATGAACGTTCAGCTCTGGCAACTGCTCCTGATCACAGAGATGAAAACATGGAAGAGATACAAGAAAAAAGTCTGGTGAATGATACTAGACAAACGTACTTATGAGAAGAAATTGAATTGATTCTTAGTCTCGACTCTGTTTATGTACTATATCTGTTGCCTCCTTGTGGACAAACATGGCATTACTCCAGACATCTTGGCATGCAGTATACTATATAATAAGAGAGATTTGAAATCACCTCACTGGAAAAATTGCAACTATAAATAAGATTTAAACCACGTTCCCCTTTTAAGCCAATCATATATTGGCCCATATATTGGTGACAATCAAGACATTTATAATCTTACAAGAGTTACCAAGTAAAGCTGAAAAAATGTATCACGGTTTCCACAAAAACATTAATGAACTGTTTTGAACATTGATGGGTCGCATCAGCATATTAGAATATATCATATCGAATCATACTGAAGACTGGATCAACTGAAAATTCAGATTTCCCATCACATGAATAAATTACATTTTAAAATATATTCACATATAAAACACTTATTTCAAATTCCAATAATATTTCACAATATTACTGTTTTTGCAGTATGTTTAATCAAATAAATGCAGCTCAGGTGAGCATAAGTGACTTCTTTGAAAAACATTTTTGACCCCAAACTTTTGAACCGTAGTGTACCTGTTGTAGAAGTCCCGTGACCCCTCTAATACAACAGTTCATTTTTGTCTGATACGTCTTTTTCCTATAATGCTCCCACAATATTATATGTATATATTAGCCTGAAATCTGGAAAGTGTTCTTCCTTACCTGTAGCAAGTGTTCAAACTGGTAGATGCACAGACCCAGCTCAGCCATGCTGGGTTTAAACAACTCTCTGAGCCTGTACTCCTGCATTAGTCTGACAAACACACAGAAAGCCTCCTCCTCCGGCATCTACAAACACACAATGAATTTGATCTATGCAAAGTTTGGCTCACAGACATTTCTTTACATTATTTGACTTCATTATGATATGCAAAACACAGAAGCAAACCTGCATAAGAAGCAACCCTACGATGAAGGCACTGCCCTGACAATAACCAACCTCACGATCCACCAGAGAATATGCCTGTGAGACAGAAACACACACACAAGTGATAGTTTGAAAAAAAAAAAACCTAATGAAAAACCCGTATGATTTTCTTTATTCCACATATCTCAAAATCTTCATGAAAATCGTATCTTAACAAAAGTGAATGTGAAGCCATACAAAATCTGTTTGTGGCGCTCTGTAATTTTTGAAGCCTAACATTCCCTGGTCACCACGGATTTTTACTGTATTGAAAAGAACAGCGTCAACATTCTGCTAAATTTCTTATTTTTGTATCTACAGAAGAAAGAAAGTCGTGCAGGTTTGGAATGACAGTGAATTATGACACTTTAAATTTTTGGGTGAACTACCCCTTTAACTTTTTTTGTTGTTGTTGTAATCAGTGTGAAAATTACTTTTTGTTCATTTTAAATTTTGTTTAATAAACCACCTCTTGCTCTTTTTCCTTGCTCTACAACGTCTCCACTTCCATCTGATCTGCTCTCTCCTTCTTTCATCACCCTTTCCATCTTTCTCACCTTCATAACATTAAAGAGAACTTCCTGTCCCAAGCTGTCCTGGCCTTTGAAGAAGTCGTGTTCGGGATATGTGCGGGCAATATCTCTGCGTATGAGTTTTTCACAGGGCGAGGACATCTTCAGGAGTTCAGAATACTGATTCTTCACTGGCATGTCAGTGGCATTACATAACAACTGCCAAACGATTGCTCGGAAATGATGAGGAATGCCTTTCCTTATAAGCTCCTGTAGAGAGAGGGAGGTTGAGGCAGAAAAAGAGATCAATGTACAAGTTTCAGATTCTTTAGTCTCAGAAACTAGCGTCTATGACGTGGGTCATTCACATTCTTAATGAAAGAAGGACTAATCAATCACCTTCAGAAGTTTGTCCTTCTTTCGTCTCCACTCATCCCACTCGTTGACGATGCGTCCCCACAGGATCCAAGTGTCTTCTTCCAGATGGGACAGGTTAGAGGACGCAGATGAGCTTGACACCAGAGAGGAGCCACTATTCCTCCGAGATCCACTCATTGAGCGCATGGATTTGGAATCTGCTTCTAGCAACCTGAATTCAGTACAATACACTGATATTAAGGTCTACAAATGGTAGTGCAGCCAAGGGGTTAAAGATCTGGGATGCTACTAATGTGCAAGTCCACATTTTCTGAAGAGACTCGATTGCTTTATATGATGAACAGATTGAATTTAGGCTTTTATTCACATATAAACATTGATCAGAAAACATAAACAGAAGCTCAATCAAACCTGCTTGACGTGCGAGAACAAACCTCATTGGTTCTTGCAGAAGCTCAAACGTGCTGCGTAACACGAGAGTGAACCTCATTGGTTCATGCAGAAGCTCAAACGTGTTGCGCAACACAAGAACAAACCTCATTGGTTCTTGCAGAAGCTCAAACGTGCTGCGTAACACGAGAGTGAACCTCATTGGTTCTTACAGAAGCTCAAACGTGCTGCGTAACACGAGAGTGAACCTCATTGGTTCTTGCAGAAGCTCAATCGCACTGCGTAACATGAGAATGAAGATCATTGGTTCATGCTGAAGCTCAAACGTGCTGCGTAACATGAGAATGAAGATCATTGGTTCATGCTGAAGCTCAAACGTGCTGCGTTACACAAGAATGAACCTCATTGGTTCTTGCAAAAGCTCAAATGTGTTGCGTAACACAAGAATGAACCTCATTGGTTCTTGCAGAAGCTCAAATGTGTTGCGTAACATGAGAATGAAGATCATTGGTTCTTGCTGAAGCTCAAACGTGCTGCGTAACACGAGAATGAACCTCATTGGTTCTTGCAGAAGCTCAAACGTGCTGCATAACACGAGAATGAACCAAATTGGTTCTTGCAGAAGCTCAAACGTGCTGCATAACACAAGAATGAACCTCATTGGTTCTTGCAGAAGCTCAAACGTGCTGCATAACACGAGAATGAACCAAATTGGTTCTTGCAGAAGCTCATACGTGCTGCATAACACGAGAATGAACCAAATTGGTTCTTGCAGAAGCTTAAACGTGCTGCGTAACACAAGAATGAACCTCATTGGTTCTTGCAAAAGCTCAAACGTGCTGCGTAACACGAGAGTGAACCTCATTGGTTCTTGCAGAAGCTCAAACGTGCTGCGTAACACGAGAGTGAACCTCATTGGTTCTTGCAGAAGCTCAAACGTGCTGCGTAACACGAGAGTGAACCTCATTGGTTCTTGCAGAAGCTCAAACGTGCTGCGTAACATGAGAATGAAGATCATTGGTTCATGCTGAAGCTCAAACGTGCTGCGTAACATGAGAATGAAGATCATTGGTTCATGCTGAAGCTCAAACGTGCTGCGTAACACAAGAATGAACCTCATTGGTTCTTGCAAAAGCTCAAATGTGTTGCGTAACACAAGAATGAACCTCATTGGTTCTTGCAGAAGCTCAAATGTGTTGCGTAACATGAGAATGAAGATCATTGGTTCTTGCTGAAGCTCAAACGTGCTGCGTAACACGAGAATGAACCTCATTGGTTCTTGCAGAAGCTCAAACGTGCTGCATAACACGAGAATGAACCAAATTGGTTCTTGCAGAAGCTCAAACGTGCTGCGTAACACAAGAATGAACCTCATTGGTTCTTGCAAAAGCTCAAACGTGCTGCGTAACACAAGAATGAACCTCATTGGTTCTTGCAGAAGCTCAAACGTGCTGCATAACACGAGAATGAACCAAATTGGTTCTTGCAGAAGCTCAAACGTGCTGCATAACACGAGAATGAACCAAATTGGTTCTTGCAGAAGCTCAAACGTGCTGCGTAACACAAGAATGAACCTCATTGGTTCTTGCAAAAGCTCAAACGTGCTGCGTAACACGAGAATGAACCTCATTGGTTCTTGCAGAAGCTCAAACGTGCTGCATAACACGAGAATGAACCAAATTGGTTCTTGCAGAAGCTCAAACGTGCTGCGTAACACAAGAATGAACCTCATTGGTTCTTGCAGAAGCTCAAACGTGCTGCGTAACACAAGAATGAACCAAATTGGTTCTTGCAGAAGCTCAAACGTGCTGCGTAACACAAGAATGAACCAAATTGGTTCTTGCAGAAGCTCAAACGTGCTGCGTAACACAAGAATGAACCTCATTGGTTCTTGCAGAAGCTCAAACGTGCTGCATAACACGAGAATGAACCAAATTGGTTCTTGCAGAAGCTCAAACGTGCTGCGTAACACAAGAATGAACCAAATTGGTTCTTGCAGAAGCTCAAACGTGCTGCGTAACACAAGAATGAACCAAATTGGTTCTTGCAGAAGCTCAAACGTGCTGCGTAACACAAGAATGAACCAAATTGGTTCTTGCAGAAGCTCAAACGTGCTGCGTAACACAAGAATGAACCTCATTGGTTCTTGCAGAAGCTCAAACGTGCTGCGTAACACGAGAATGAACCAAATTGGTTCTTGCAGAAGCTCAAACGTGCTGCGTAACACAAGAATGAACCAAATTGGTTCTTGCAGAAGCTCAAACGTGCTGCGTAACACAAGAGTGAACCAAATTGGTTCTTGCAGAAGCTCAAACGTGCTGCGTAACACAAGAATGAACCAAATTGGTTCTTGCAGAAGCTCAAACGTGCTGCGTAACACGAGAATGAACCTCATTGGTTCTTGCAGAAGCTCAAACGTGCTGCGTAACACAAGAATGAACCAAATTGGTTCTTGCAGAAGCTCAAACGTGCTGCGTAACACGAGAATGAACCTCATTGGTTCTTGCAGAAGCTCAAACGTGCTGCGTAACACAAGAATGAACCAAATTGGTTCTTGCAGAAGCTCAAACGTGCTGCGTAACACAAGAATGAACCAAATTGGTTCTTGCAGAAGCTCAAACGTGCTGCGTAACACGAGAATGAACCTCATTGGTTCTTGCAGAAGCTCAAACGTGCTGCGTAACACAAGAATGAACCAAATTGGTTCTTGCTGAAGCTCAAACGTGCTGCGTAACACGAGAATGAACCTCATTGGTTCTTGCAGAAGCTCAAACGTGCTGCATAACACGAGAATGAACCAAATTGGTTCTTGCAGAAGCTAAAACGTGCTGCGTAAGACGAGAATGAACCTCATTGGTTCTTGCAGAAGCTCAAACGTGCTGCATAACACGAGAATGAACCAAATTGGTTCTTGCAGAAGCTCAAACGTGCTGCGTAACACAAGAATGAACCAAATTGGTTCTTGCAGAAGCTCAAACGTGCTGCGTAACACAAGAATGAACCAAATTGGTTCTTGCAGAAGCTCAAACGTGCTGCGTAACACAAGAATGAACCTCATTGGTTCTTGCAGAAGCTCAAACGTGCTGCGTAACACAAGAATGAACCAAATTGGTTCTTGCAGAAGCTCAAACGTGCTGCGTAACACAAGAATGAACCAAATTGGTTCTTGCTGAAGCTCAAACGTGCTGCGTAACACGAGAATGAACCTCATTGGTTCTTGCAGAAGCTCAAACGTGTTGCGTAACACGAGAATGAACCTCATTGGTTCTTGCAGAAGCTCAAACGTGTTGCGTAACACGAGAATGAACCTCATTGGTTCTTGCAGAAGCTCAAACGTGTTGCGTAACACGAGAATGAACCTCATTGGTTCTTGCAGAAGCTCAAACGTGTTGCGTAACAAGAGAATGAACCTCATTGGTTCTTGCAGAAGCTCAAACGTGTTGCGTAACAAGAGAATGAACCTCATTGGTTCTTGCAGAAGCTCAAACGTGCTGCGTAACACGAGAATGAACCTCATTGGTTCTTGCTGAAGCTCAAACGTGCTGCGTAACACGAGAATGAACCTCATTGGTTATTGCAGAAGCTCAAACGTGTTGCGTAACACGAGAATGAACCTCATTGGTTCTTGCAGAAGCTCAAACGTGTTGCGTAACACGAGAAAGAACCTCATTGGTTCTTGCAGAAGCTCAAACGTGTTGCGTAACACGAGAATGAACCTCATTGGTTCTTGCAGAAGCTCAAACGTTCTGCATAACACGAGAATGAACCTCATTGGTTCTTGCAGAAGCTCAAACGGTTTGCGTAACAAGAGAATGAACCTCATTGGTTCTTGCAGAAGCTCAAACGTGTTGCGAAAAACACGAGAATGAACCTCATTGGTTCTTGCAGAAGCTCAAACGTGTTGCGTAACAAGAGAATGAACCTCATTGGTTCTTGCAGAAGCTCAAACGTGTTGCGAAAAACACGAGAATGAACCTCATTGGTTCTTGCTGAAGCTCAAACGTGGTGCGTAACACGAGAATGAACCTCATTGGTTCTTGCAGAAGCTCAAACGTGCTGCGTAACACGAGAATGAACCTCATTGGTTCTTGCTGAAGCTCAAACGTTCTGCATAACACGAGAATGAACCTCATTGGTTCTTGCTGAAGCTCAAACGTGCTGCATAACACGAGAATGAACCTCATTGGTTCTTGCAGAAGCTCAAACGTGTTGCGTAACATGAGAATGAACCTCATTGGTTCTTGCAGAAGCTCAAACGTGCTGCGTAACACGAGAATGAATCTCATTGGTTCTTGCAGAAGCTCAAACGTGTTGCGTAACAAGAGAGTGAACCTCATTGGTTCTTGCAGAAGCTCAAACGTGCTGCATAACACGAGAATGAACCTCATTGGTTCTTGCAGAAGCTCAAACGTTCTGCATAACACGAGAATGAACCTCATTGGTTCTTGCAGAAGCTCAAACGTTCTGCATAACACGAGAATGAACCTCATTGGTTCTTGCAGAAGCTCAAACGTTCTGCGTAACACGAGAATGAACCTCATTGGTTCTTGCAGAAGCTCAAACGTGCTGCGTAACACAAGAATGAACCTCATTGGTTCTTGCAGAAGCTCAAACGTGCTGCATAACACGAGAATGAACCTCATTGGTTCTTGCAGAAGCTCAAACGTGCTGCGTAACACGAGAATGAACCTCATTGGTTCTTGCAGAAGCTCAAACGTGTTGCGTAACAAGAGAATGAACCTCATTGGTTCTTGCAGAAGCTCAAACGTGTTGCGTAACAAGAGAATGAACCTCATTGGTTCTTGCAGAAGCTCAAACGTGTTGCGAAAAACACGAGAATGAACCTCATTGGTTCTTGCTGAAGCTCAAACGTGCTGCGTAACACGAGAATAAACCTCATTGGTTCTTGCTGAAGCTCAAACGTGCTGCATAACACGAGAATGAACCTCATTGGTTCTTGCAGAAGCTCAAACGTGTTGCGTAACAAGAGAATGAACCTCATTGGTTCTTGCAGAAGCTCAAACGTGTTGCCTAACAAGAGAATGAACCTCATTGGTTCTTGCAGAAGCTCAAACGTGTTGCGAAAAACACGAGAATGAACCTCATTGGTTCTTGCTGAAGCTCAAACGTGCTGCGTAACACGAGAATAAACCTCATTGGTTCTTGCTGAAGCTCAAACGTGCTGCATAACATGAGAATGAACCTCATTGGTTCTTGCAGAAGCTCAAACGTGCTGCGTAACACGAGAATGAATCTCATTGGTTCTTGCAGAAGCTCAAACGTGTTGCGTAACAAGAGAGTGAACCTCATTGGTTCTTGCAGAAGCTCAAACGTGCTGCATAACACGAGAATGAACCTCATTGGTTCTTGCAGAAGCTCAAACGTTCTGCATAACACGAGAATGAACCTCATTGGTTCTTGCAGAAGCTCAAACGTTCTGCATAACACGAGAATGAACCTCATTGGTTCTTGCAGAAGCTCAAACGTTCTGCGTAACACGAGAATGAACCTCATTGGTTCTTGCAGAAGCTCAAACGTGCTGCGTAACACAAGAATGAACCTCATTGGTTCTTGCAGAAGCTCAAACGTGCTGCATAACACGAGAATGAACCTCATTGGTTCTTGCAGAAGCTCAAACGTGCTGCGTAACACGAGAATGAACCTCATTGGTTCTTGCAGAAGCTCAAACGTGTTGCGTAACAAGAGAATGAACCTCATTGGTTCTTGCAGAAGCTCAAACGTGTTGCGTAACAAGAGAATGAACCTCATTGGTTCTTGCAGAAGCTCAAACGTGTTGCGAAAAACACGAGAATGAACCTCATTGGTTCTTGCTGAAGCTCAAACGTGCTGCGTAACACGAGAATAAACCTCATTGGTTCTTGCTGAAGCTCAAACGTGCTGCATAACACGAGAATGAACCTCATTGGTTCTTGCAGAAGCTCAAACGTGCTGCGTAACACGAGAATGAACCTCATTGGTTCTTGCAGAAGCTCAAACGTGTTGCGTAACATGAGAATGAACCTCATTGGTTCTTGCAGAAGCTCAAACGTGTTGCGTAACAAGAGAATGAATCCCATTGGTTCTTGCAGAAGCTCAAACGTTCTGCATAACACGAGAATGAACCTCATTGGTTCTTGCAGAAGCTCAAACGTGTTGCGTAACATGAGAATGAACCTCATTGGTTCTTGCAGAAGCTCAAACGTGTTGCGTAACACGAGAATGAATCCCATTGGTTCTTGCAGAAGCTCAAACGTTCTGCGTAACACGAGAATGAACCTCATTGGTTCTTGCAGAAGCTCAAACGTGCTGCGTAACACGAGAATGAACCTCATTGGTTCTTGCAGAAGCTCAAACGTGTTGCGTAACATGAGAATGAACCTCATTGGTTCTTGCAGAAGCTCAAACGTGTTGCGTAACAAGAGAATGAATCCCATTGGTTCTTGCAGAAGCTCAAACGTGCTGCGTAACACGAGAATGAACCTCATTGGTTCTTGCAGAAGCTCAAACGTGTTGCGTAACATGAGAATGAACCTCATTGGTTCTTGCAGAAGCTCAAACGTGTTGCGTAACACGAGAATGAATCCCATTGGTTCTTGCAGAAGCTCAAACGTTCTGCATAACACGAGAATGAACCTCATTGGTTCTTGCAGAAGCTCAAACGTGTTGCGTAACAAGAGAATGAACCTCATTGGTTCTTGCAGAAGCTCAAACGTTCTGCATAACACGAGAATGAACCTCATTGGTTCTTGCAGAAGCTCAAACGTGCTGCATAACACGAGAATGAACCTCATTGGTTCTTGCAGAAGCTCAAACGTTCTGCATAACACGAGAATGAACCTCATTGGTTCTTGCAGAAGCTCAAACGTTCTGCATAACACGAGAATGAACCTCATTGGTTCTTGCAGAAGCTCAAACGTGCTGCGTAACACAAGAATGAACCTCATTGGTTCTTGCAGAAGCTCAAACGTGCTGCGTAACACAAGAATGAACCTCATTGGTTCTTGCAGAAGCTCAAACGTGCTGCATAACACGAGAATGAACCTCATTGGTTCTTGCAGAAGCTCAAACGTGTTGCGTAACATGAGAATGAACCTCATTGCTTCTCGCACGTCAAGCGAACATGCTTGCGCTTCCGTTTACCATGACTGATGTGTACCTTGATGAATGTTTATATGTGAATAAAAGCCTAAATTCAATCTGTTCATCATAAAGAGATCGAGTCTCTTTAGAAAATTTTGGACTAAACCGATGATTCATATGGATTCGTTTTATGATGTCTTTATGAACTTTTTGAAGTGTCAAAGTGGTAGTTGCGTCTATGGAAGGACAGAAAGCTCTCAGATTTCATCAAAAAGATAATTATTAATGATTAATGACAGACTTTTTGGGTGAACAAACCCTTTAAAGTCCCTACTAATTTCTACAACGGTTGCTGCCTTCTAAAAGGTTCATTAAAGATCATTAAAGTTCCACATTCAGCAAGGTAACTGTTGCTATTGTCATTGCCAGGCAACCACCACAACTGATTAATAGCGAAAGGTTGTTACATATCAGCTGTTACAGGAAGAGAAGCCTGACTGCTACGAGTTTCACACTATGCTATTCGCAGGTCAAATGATAAACCACACACATAGCTTTCTGTCTCAAGCACGCACAGCATTCCCTTTGTAGAGGCTCTGGTACCTTCAGAGTGATGTCTTTCAAGTATGTGCACACGCACGCACATAGTGTGTTGCTCTTTGACTCAATTGACATTGTAGACACTTGCTCTTTGCAATTACCTCTGTGACTCATGTCGTTTCTATACAGGTTTGGAACAAAACTTTCTTTCTTCCATGAAACTCAAAATCAGATTTTCTTTTTTAAGAAAATCCTGGGCACAAAATATTCAATGAATGAGAAATTACAAAAAAGTACCATAGATGCATCACAAAAGTCAATAAGACTTTTCCTCAAAGCTATCACATGGCTTCGGGAGACTAATTTAGCATGTTGTATGGACTATTTTTAAGGTGCATTTTTGTCATTTTGGCACATAGCCTGGTTCTCATTCAAAGCGCAGCCAGGATAATATTGACCTTAAAATTCAGCTTTTGCATTCCAAGGCAGAAAGAAAATCATGTAAGTTTGAAGGGGAGTAAATAATGATGTCACTTTAAAAACTGTTTGCGTGTATGGTGCTCTTGTTCTACCTGTTCTGTTCCTCCAGTTTAGCCAGAAGCTCGAGCTCATCTGGACTGAGGTTCTCTGAGTCAGCAGGGGAGGCTGCCGGGCCGGAGAGCGCAGCATCATGGGAACTTGAGTCTGGACTGAGAACTGGGCTGCCAACAAAACGAGGGTCAGTTTCCAGTCCGGGAGGCGAGTTGAGGTCCTCCAGTTGAACAGAACCTGCCATCCCTCCCTCTCTCTCTGGGCTGCTGCTAGGGCTTGACATGATGGAGGAGTCCAGGACAAGAAAAGCTAAGCAGTGATGTGGGGACGTGGAAGGATGCTGCAGGGGTCTTACAAGATTGGCGCTGTGGACGTAGACAGGCCTCCTTGAAGACGTGTATATCAGGCCTGGGATAATCTGTGGAAATGAGATAAGTAAGATTATATATTGTAGTGCTGCTTAATTAATTGAAAAAATGATTGAGATTTTGATTATGGCTGCCGTGATTAACCAATTAATCACTCTGTGATTATGATGAGAGGTTCTCTAGAATTGTCTACAGAGCTTCAGACTGCGACTAAATGTTCGCATTTGTGAACATTTTTCCTGCCGGTGGGACCAGGGCCGGTTCTAGACATTAGGAGGCCCTAGGCAATATTCATGTTGGAGGCCCCCCACCCCCAATACAAAACTCTTGAAACAAATATGATTCCTAACCTTTTAATTTATACAGCATTTCATTTTAAATGTAGCATATTTTTACTTACACAGTACATAAGTTTGGACACATTACTATTTTTAATGTTTTTGAAAGAAGTCTCTTATGCTCACCAAGCCTGGATTTATTTGATCAAAAATACAGAAAAATATATATATAATTAAATATTTATATATTTTCCTATTTTATACTTTAAAATATATTTCTGTGATGCAAAGCTGAATTTAGTGTCACTTGATCCTTCAGAAAACTTTATAATATTCTGATTTATTATCAAATGTTAGAAATGGTGCTTAATATTTTTTTTTTTTAACCTGTGATACTTTTTTTCAGGATTTTTTTATTATTAAAAAGTTGTTTTCAAAAAGTCTTCACTATCACTTTTTATATTTAACACATCCTTGCTGAATATTCCTGTTTTTTTTTCTGTATTTTTGATCAAATAAATGCAGGCTTGTAGAGCATAATAAGAAACTTCTTACAAAAACTTTTAAAATAGTAATGGGTCCAGACTTTTTACCAGTAGGCTAATGTATGTACATATTAATCAAACTTTATCTAAGGTAATCTAGTTTTTGTTTAATGAAGATGCTATTTTTATTGTTGTTATTTAGGTGTTTTATTAAATTTATTCACAGTTCCAGAATACCACTTCAGGAGATGAACACAAAACAAGTGGAAGAGAAAGACACGATCGCTACTGATTAGAAAAAAAAATCTAAACTGATATTATTGGCGTGCTATGATGTCAGGGTATAATCTAATCAGCAGCAGAATTTAGAATATAGACCCATAGATATGAGATCCTTATTTAAAACATTTAAAAAGTTTGTAGTGTGTTGGCTTTTTAACTTTGAATACAAACGTCTTGTCTTTTACTTTTGTAGCTTTTTTAGTCACCTCCCAATGCGATGTTATTTATTGTACGTGCAAATTCAAAGCGTCGCGTCTTGGGCACGTTAATGACGCTCGCACTCTTTTAAACTCCTAATAAAGCGGTGAATGATTTTTCCAGAAATGCCGCTGATCTACAGTACAAGTTTATATTTAGAATACATTGCAATCACTCCAAAATAGATGACGACAACTCACACACCTGCATTACGAGCTGTGCTTCTTTGCGTGCCTATTTAGGCTTTTGCTTCGCAGCACATGATGGATGCGTCCGTTACACACACTTTCAGAAGCCTGCACCCGCTTTGAAACGGAAACATTAATTGGTTTAACTGCAGATGAGTGACAATTCAACAATATCCAATGAACAATGAGGCTAGTATTTCTGCCCGTCTGGTGGACTAGGGATGTTACGGTTATGGAGGCCCCTCCTCAAAGCCCGAGGCCCTAGGCAATCGCCTACTCTGCCTATAGCTAGCGCCGGCCCTGGGTGGGACTATATTTTGTTAGAGGTCGCACTGGTTCCACAACCAATAAGCAACACCATTTCTGTTGCATATGAGGATTAAGCATTAAAGGACAAACGTGACAAAAGTAGAACGAAACAGTAATTCTTGTTTGAACCGCACCACATAGACCATTTATCAGCTTGGCCCAAAAGACATCGCAGTGCTCACGGACCGATCTCGTTCATGCGACCATCCACTGAGAAGCGTTCGAAATACAAACTAGTACAAAATTGATACAAACTAGGGATGTACTCGAGTACTCTAATGTGACAGCAATGATCAATCATGAAAATGATTATCGCCGTGAATTTCTTTTTCTTTCTGCTTGGTTATTGCGGCCTTTTGGTCTGATTGGTTACTGTTAGGACAGCATGCCTTCCAGATTGGCAAAATAAAGTGAAACTATTGATTTGAAAGTGTGCAGTAATGCCTGGAATCACTTTGATCATGAAAATACAGTTCAGTGCAAGTTGTGCAGCACCAATCTGTCATACATAACATTATAATGAGAACACTATCATAGAAAAGCGGGAAGAGCGCATCAACAATGGGAGTAACACTTTCTAGCTATCACTATGGATGCACCGATATGAACATTTTGCCCGTTACCGATAACCAATAATTCTTTGGGCCCTATTTTAACGATATAAGCGCATGGTCTAAAGCGCACGCCGCAAGTGCACTTAGGGCGTGTCCGAATCCAATTTTGCTAGTTTAACGATGGGTAAAATGGTCGGCGTGCCCGGCGCATGGTCTAAAAGGGTTGTCCCTATTCTCTTAATGAGTAATGGGTGTGTTTTGGGCGTAACGTGCAATAAACCAATCAGAGTCTCCTCTCCCATTCCCTTTAAAAGCCAGTTGCGCTCGCGCCATGGTGAATTCGCAATTTACATGGAGGAATTTGCAAGCGGAAAAACTGAATGCTTCTCTAGCGAGGAAACGGATCTGCTCGTGCGCAAGATTAAAGCGCGGGAGCAGACCATCTACGAGACAAAGTGTACACGCGCTGTGCACCCGCCTATAGGCGCAAATTACTAACGAGTTCTTTAAATAACAGAACGCAATCTATTTGAGTAGCCTCAAAATAGCGACGCGCCAACAATGTGCCTGAACACACCTCGTTTTCAGACCAGCACGCCTGGGTGCACAAATGGGGGCAAATGCATTAGCTATTTAAACAACGTGGCGCAGGACGTGAAAATGATAACTGCGTCAGGCTGAAACTAGCAAAAAACACTTGCCTGGTGCTACATTGCGCCGGGTGTATGATAGGGCCCTTTATATTTGAAAGCCGATAACCGATATATTGGCAGATAAATCTAAATCCAATTTTTTTATGTAATTTTGATTACAAAAACAAAAGTCTCACCATTTTCCCAAGCACACAATTATAATGATGTTCTCATAATTTTATGTAGCCTATATGACAGACATGTTGCACTTAACTGTATTTTCCTTATTAAAAGTTCAAGCAATTCAAAAACATAATGGTTTAAAAACATAATTAAAAGTTCAAGCAATTCAAAAACATAATGGTGAACCATCTGAAGTGTCTCAGCTGAAGGAAATAATCTATTATTTATCGGCTTTAATATATCGGCCAAATTGTCTTATCTGGCCGATAACGATAACATTAAAAATGAACATATACTGGCCGATACCGATATGATGGCTAATATATCGTGCATCCCTCCCTAGCTAGCACGTGATTTTTGTGCAGATACAAGTTGTAAGGTTACATTTATGTTGTGTATGCAGGACATCTGATTAATCTCATTTAGGATGTTTTATAGAACTGGCTCAGTTTACTGGTGTTCATTCACTCTTTAGCTTCACCACATGCAGCTTTTCCTTTTAGATCGTTGGTTCTCACAAATACACAATAAAGTTTGTTTTTCTGAGGTGAGACTTTTTATTTCGTATTTCGTTGTCAAAGTAACTTTAGAATAATGACACTGACATATAGCCATCTGAATAGATGTCAACATCTCATCTGACAGCAGATACTGAATCAGGACAACACACACAATTTACTTAAACTGCGTCTGACAGAATACTAAACAGTTTTCACGCATGTCTTTCAAAATAAAAGTCTTGTATTAAAATGATGTATGCGGCCGACAAATGCAACCTCCCGAGAATGTGGCCTAAACTCAATGAAAAATTGTCAAAAATGCCCATCCCTAATACAAACCACAAATGTTTAGGAGACTTAATCTAGTTTAAAGCCAGAGGAAACTGTGCTGACATTCTCAACAGCAATGATGTGGAAAACAGGAGAAACATTGTTCCACAACGATCCAGTCAGAAGTATTTTCAATCCACAAATAACCAATGTTTACTGTAGTAAAACGGTAACCACAGTATAATTGCGGCAGATCTTCATGGGATGATATTCATATAATTTTATTAAATCATTAATGTACTCATGTATCAAATGTATTAAAGGTGAAATAATGTTTGTTTAATTAATTTTTTTAAATAATTTTTAAAAATAATTTAGCAGTTTTTGAGCATTGGTATTCATATTAATTATGTTTATAGACGACTGTTTTTCATAACAAATACCACAGAAACCATATGGTTATTTTTTTTACCATGGTAGTGACGTGCCATGCATGGTTTAACCTGTGGTTATCACGATCTACATACTGTATGTATGATACTATGGAATACAAATGGCTAAGTTTAATTGGAGTACAGCCTTAACTCAGTCAGAACATTTAACTTTTACTCTATAAAAATTTGGTTGCCATTTTTACAGATTTACAGTATTTGTTAGTGAAAATAAATGTCCGCATACTGCTACTGTTAACTAGCTGATGTCAAATGTGCATTTCCCAGAGACAAAACATGTAATATTATTAATATTTTAAATACCCTTCCCCAATCTGTAGAACTTAGTGGCTCTGGTGGCACGGCTCTCAAAAACTAGTCAAGTTGTTACATGACACCTATTTCTCTGATTTCTGTCAGGTGGTAGGGACTGTAGTGTATGTGTACAGTGTAAATGTTTTGTATAGCATTACAACAATAAGCTATCTGTGCGTCTGCGTCCTATAACAAACCACACACAAACAGAGCATCTAAGCCACAGCCAAAACTTTATAAGAAAGAGAAAGAGAGAGAGAGAGGGGGGATGCAGGTTGGATTATAGAATGTATGCGGTTTGTAAAAAAATAGGAATGGATGGATGATACAGACATGAAATACATACATGCGTTTATAAATACATTACCAAAGACAGATAAATGCAGTGTGTTGTGTTCTCTCATGGGAACAATGAAATGAGTATT